TATTATTTAGAATATCTATATTTATACTAATAAAAATTAAGAGTCATGTGCTGGAGTCTTTTTTTTTTTTTCAACCCAGATATTGACAGGTGGTGAGCAGGTGGAGCCAGGCAGCGCTTGTCACGGATGTGTCGGAGTGGTAGGCGGGGGGAGGGGTGAAGATATGAGTGAATGATATCAGCTCAGTCGCTCCTTTCCTGTTGTTGTTGAGTGACACTTGGATATATCACTAAACATATAAAAATAGAAGCTCTGTGTCAGCCTTCTCCTTGTACAGGGTGCTGTGCTGCAGCGTTTAAATCTGGATGTCAGTATGCCACTATCGTTATTTATAGAAGAGACCCGTATTAACATTTTGAGAGCGACAGAGGAAGAGGGAGAAAGAGAAGTGCACATTTCAGATAGAAGGCACTGTGAATTTTGTCTTGCATTAATTGAACATTTACATTTATCTCCTTTAAAATAATCACTCCTATCTGTATAGGAATGTACATGTTGCAAGGCACTTTCACATACACCACCACCCTGGAGTCCCATGAGAGACTATTTGAGGTACAAAACAGAATTTGTCTTCCTGGAGAAGTTCGGGGAGATTAAGTGACTCCCTAGCATGTCGCCCAGCGGGTGGTGCTAGAACTGGCTCTCAGTTTTGCATCTTCAAAACGCAGTTGTTCCTTCCTCCTATAGGTCATATAAGGTATTCATGTCCCCATATAACAGATGAGGAAATTGAGCAAGGAGTCATAAACCCAGGCATGGTATGGGACGTTCATCTAGGCACTAAGGACACAGCAGTGAAAAAATGGGTAAAATAATTATGGCCTTGTAAAATGTCTTTAAAGCTAACACCCCAGTGGTTGTGTTAGATGATCTTTACAATTCGGAAACTCCCCAGTGTAAGTTATGATGCAGGGCTATTTTATCCCATTTTAATCATCATTTGGAAATAATAAATTGGCTTAAACATCATAAAACAATTAAATATTTAATACTTTAAAATATTCAGCTAATTTGGGGGAACTTTTAGTTCTCTCTCATATTTTGACTATCGTGTTGATTCTGTAGTGGTATGATGACATATTTTCATATTCTGTTCAAGTCAACATAAGTCATAAGGGATTTCTTTGTGTGTCCACTGGGATCGAATTGGACCTGTAGGATCCCTTGTGGACCAGGAGGGAAATGCCTCAATAGGCTTTTGCTAACGGGGCTCACATGAGCCAATAGCTAGGACAATCATCCCCAAACATCTCTACACTTCAGAATCACTTAAGAAGCTTCGAAAAGTGCTGATTCCTGTGTCCCACTCCAGTGACTGTAATATAATCGACTTAGCTTATGTGCAGAATGTTTAAAAGGTGATTCAGGAACCAGTGAACTAGAATATGACTAATGGGATAACAGACAATTGTTTGTCTACCCAATAATCATTCTCAGTCACTTTCTTTCTTTTTTTTTTGTGATGGAGTTTCGCTTTTGTTACCCAGGCTGCAGTGCAATGGCGCGAACTTGGTTCACCGCAGCCTCTGCCTCCTGGGTTCAAGCAATTCTCCTACCTCAGCCTCCTGAGTAGCTGGGACTACAGGTGCACGCCACCATGCCCAGCTAATTTTTTTATTTTTAGTAGAGACGGGGTTTCACCATGTTGACCAGGATGGTCTTGATCTCTTGACCTCATGATCTACCTGCCTCGGCCTCCCAAAGTGCTGGGATTATAGGCATGAGCCACCACGCCTGGCCCATTCTCAGTCACTTTCTAAGTTGCAAGCAAAACCTCAGCTTTGTTCAGGGTATTAAATCATGATTCAGGGGGTGAATCATGATTGTTTTAAACCAATCATAGTAATTTCACTCTCTCTGCCAGTGATTAGCTTGGGGGTAATTATAGGAACCAGATCCAACCAATGGAACAGAAAATAATACCTATTGGAGACAACATGAGAAAGGTTTCTTTGCTATTAACGAAAGTGACTTCTTTAAGGAAGTAGTCTTCTTTCCTTTTCCACCTCTGGTTACGACTGTGTTGAAAAGGTATGATAGCATTTAGAGGCCTCGGGGGAAACAAGGCAAAAACCAAAGCAACAACTGGTAATGCTGACTGAAAGATGGAAAGAAACTGAGTCTTGCTGACATTGTTGGGCCAACAGGGTAATGAACTCTAATACCAACATACCTCCTGACTTTCCGTTAATTATCATTTATGTTAAGTTAGTTGGTGTTTCTGAAAGTTATAGCTAAAGTATACTAAATGATTCATCAAATCGAAATCCTAATTTTGGATTAAGTCTCATAAGGAGCATAGTATAGGCTATCCCAGGACAAAATAAGGTTTTGTCCAAACTTGCGTATTGTCCACACTTACATATTGTCTCTGAACAGAAACCAATGGATGATTTCTTCGAAAATGTTAGTTTTCTTACGTAGCTACAACTCAAAAGATTTATTTCAAAAATTTTTATTTTTTATTAACCTCCAAATCTATCAACAAGCTTTACTAAAATTTTTCTTGAACCTCCTTATATTTTCTTCTGTGCCATTTAAAATGTTGGTGAGAATAACTACAGTTAAAAATAATTATGACCAGGCACGGTGACTCACGCCTGTAATCCCATAATTTTGGGAGGCCGAGGCAGGTGGATCATGAGGTCAGGAGTTCGAGACCAGCCCGGCCAATATGGTGAAACCCTGTCTCTACTAAAAATACAAAAATTAGCCGGGTGTGGTGGCGAGCGCCTATAGTCCCAGCTACTTGGGAGGCTGAGGCACGAGAATTGTTTGAACCCGGCAGGTGAAGGTTGCAGTGAGCCGAGATTAAGCCACTATACTCCAGCCTGGGTGACAGAGTGAGACTCCATCTCAAAAACAAAAACAAAAACTTATATATTAGTTATATATTATCACTGACACAAAGACTTCATGATATGAAACTTCTCAAGAGGGGCTGTGGGATATTTTTGGTACCAGGTTGCGGGATGAGGCTATTAAGAGGCAAGTGACTAATTGTCCCTTATTCAGCTTCCTAACAACTAGGAAGAAAAAAAGGGCAAGAGAAAGGTAAATGCAGATTAACTGGGGCCTCCATCAAATTTTAGGGATGATAGTCATGACAATTCAAATTTTGCTTTCCATTGAGGGTTCTGTAGTTTTCAGTTTGTCCACAGGAGATTTTATGAAGCTGTAAATAGTTATAAATAACATTCATTGGGTTCTTACCATGTGTCATCCATCATGCCAAGCTTTTTACATGCATCATCTCAAATACTTCTCCCAATCAACCTAGAAGGACCTTGTGTCTCAGGGGATTTAATTGACTTGTGAAAGGTTGCATGGAAGCTAAGCCTGTGCTTTTATCAACAGCACAGTATTGTCTTCTATCCACAGTGGAAAGAACCCAAACTGTAGCTGAGTTCTATCAGTTATTACCAGTGTGACACTGGGCCTTCTTCACCCACTCCCCGTGAAAACTGAATAATGATCTTTTAAACTGGAAGTCCTGTCCAAATGTAACAGATTATTCCTGTACCTTTGCGATTTTTTCCAAAAGCATTGATAGAGTCCTCACTGTATACTAGATGCTACGCCAGGTTCTGGGAGAACAACAGTGTATGAGACACAAGAGTGCTTTTCCTGTCACTGCTGGACCCAGGGTTGAGCTGGAGGCCATGATTTGCTTTCCAGACAGGCCTGGGGCTGCCCGAGCTCTGGCTTTGCCTCTCGGAGCCATGCTAGTGAAAGCCTGGCGAGAATGGATGCCAGCAGCTCCCCAGCTGCCTCATGTTAATGTAATCAGCAAGAAGCCTGCACACCTGACGGTAGTGCAGAATATGAGGTGAATGATTAAAGTTTAAAAGGTCGTATACCATTGTAATACTGAAAAGAAACTTTATGATTCATCATTCCTGATGTAATGTCATCTGTTTAATAAAGGCGTGTTTCACCCACAGCTCATTTTTAATGGGCCTATTTAAGTAATGACATTAGGGTTGGGTTTTTTCCCTTTCCCTCTCAAGCTAAGAATGGTTTGTATGGAGTATACTTGAAAAAACCACAGTAGTTTAGAACTTGGATATTTACAGTATCTTTCAGGCTTCAGCTGACTGTGTATTATTTATGCCAACCCACTGTACTTGGACTGAAATATCAGGGAAAGGCAAACAAGCAGCTGGATATGCTAATACACAAGCCATGTCTTAGTTAATTGTATGGATGGGAATTTATATCGTGGGCAAATATTGTTAGCTGTAAACTGCTGTGATGAGCAGTGGTCAGACGGTATGCCGCCCACGTTGGTGTTTCACTCAAGCAGGGAAATGGAATCAGTAGCTCTGCTTCTCTCAGATCAGTGGTTCTCGAGTAGAGACAATTTTGTCTCACAGGGGACATTTGGCAATGTTTGGAAATGTTTTTTAGTTGTTCTACAGGAGGAGGTCGGGGGTGCTGGAACCTGGTGGGGAGAGGTTCGGGATGCTGTCGAACATTTTGCATTGCACAGGGCACTTCCCACTTCAACATATGGGGTAGAATTCAAAAGGTAAGTGGACTCTGGAGGATTAAGGGAAAGGTTTTATAACCTTCTGTGGTGGCAAGAGAGAATTTTATCTCATTTCCTTAGTTCTGTTTTTTTCTGATGCTATTACTATCTTTCTAAATGAATGTCTTTCCTCTTCATCTGTTAATACAAACCTCATGGGAGAGGAGCATGCCATGAGGTGAGAAATGACACAGGGGGAGTGGCCATAATCTAGAATTTATTAAACGTTGGAAGGTGAGAACAGGGTAAAAAGTTATCTAGTTTTACCTTATCTTCAACAGAGAAAGAAACTGAAGCTCCAAAAAAGGAAGTAACTTTCTGAAGGTGACCAGCTAATCATGACAAGCCACAATTTTACACTATTTGTTATCTTTGTTCTGAATCTGAGAACAATAGATTCTAACCCACACATAACTCTGCTTTCCAAAGACAGCATGCAAATTACCATCTTCCCTAATCCTCTTTTTGCTCTTCTTTTTCCATTTCTAAATTCGCCCCCCTCAAGACCTGTTTTTGAATATCGCATGACCAAAAGCCAAATTACTCCTTGCTATTTCCTACTAATTTTTTCGACAGATTGAACTTTTGGCTTTTCATTGGTAGAGGCAGTGATATTTCTGCTCTGTGACTTTTTCACTATGTTCTTAATGTTTTTTATCTTGGGCATAATACTTGCTCTCTAATGTTGGTTATCATGGCATGAACTTCAGCTTATGAGGCCACTTAGCGTCCTAAGACGGAGAACTCCTGAAGGTTCTCAGAAAGATCAGGTATAAGGAAGGGTGACGTGTGCAAATGCTGTTTCACTGAATTGGTATAAACTGAACTCTTGATTCCCACTCCCTCAGCTGTCTCTTTTCCCAATTCTCTCCATTTGAGTAAAATGGCAATTTGCACTATCTTGATGTTCAAGCCAAAACCCTTAAAGTCATCTGTGACTCATTTTATTCTCTTTCTTTCCACATGCAAACAAGTGATAAATCCTATTGAATATAACTTCAGAATATATCCATAATCCAGCCACTTTTGGTCACCTTCACTGCTTGCATCCACTGAAGTCTAAGCTGCTATTAGTTTTCACTTAAAATATTGTGCTGTCCTCCCAACCTGCCTTCCTCCTTCTACCTGGCTGGCTCCCTTGTCTCTTCTCCATAGAGAAACCAGACCAATCATTTTAAGTTGTTAGTTTCTGTCTTAAAGTGGCTTCTCATCTAAATAAAAGTAAAATACAAATTGATTTTACCTTACCAAACTTTTTTTTTTTTTTATTTTTTTGAGACGGAGTTTCACTCTTGTTACCCAGGCTAGAGTGCAATGGTGTGATCTCGGCTCACCACAACCTCTGCCTCCTGGGTTCAGGCAATTCTCCTGCCTCAGCCTCCTGAGTAGCTGGGATTACAGGCATGCACCACCATGCCCAGCTAATTTTTTGTATTTTTAGTAGAGACGGGGTTTCACTGTGTTGACCAGGATGGTCTCTATCTCTTGACATCGTGATCCACCCGCCTTGGCCTCCCAAAGTGCTGGGATTACAGGCGTGAGCCACCGCGCCCGGCTACCTTACCAAACTTTATCTTATCAAAACCTACAAGATAATATTACTTTTGCACCTGTCTGCCCCTCAGATCTCAGCTCCCAGGACCTTTCCTTTTGTTCTCCATATTCCTCTTGTGTGTCCCTCATCAAATAATCAAATATAGTACAAAATCATCAAATCATCATTCCATCAAATTATCAGATATAGTACAGCCTGTCCCCCACTCCTCTGTCAATGTATATCATCCTGCTTGGTTTACTTCCTGGTACTTAGCATCTCCTGAAAAACTCTGTGTGTGTGTGTCTGTGTGTGTGTGTGTGTGTGTGTGAGAGAGAGAGAGAGACAGAGACAGAGAGAGACAGAGACAGTGAGACAGACAGGGACAGAGAGAGACAGAGAGAAGAGAGTACTCCATAAGGGCAGGATCTATACTTGTTTTGTACTTGAAGTAAAGTGGTGACAAGCACATGACAGGCACCCAGTTTTGAGTGAGTGAGAATGAATGAATGAATACACAAATGAATGAATTGGTTATTTTTCTTTTATTATTTAACAACCAATCTGCCATGCTGCTTAGAAACCTTTATCTTCATAATTTGAATAAGGATAGGCTATACCAAAATGTTTCCTATCTAGTAGCAGTAACCCCAACTCCCAATTCAGTATTTTAGGTGTTCATTAACTTCTGGGTCTCAAATTTGGAAGAGCTACTTCAAGGGTAAGACACTGGCTTATTATTTATCTACACAGATTATTTTTTGGCTGGGTCCATGTCCATATAATTACTTTTATTTAATTCTTTTTTCTTCTTTGACCTCCCTTGAGATGTTATTATATATCTGAATATCACCCACATATTTGATGACCAAGACTTTAGTGCAAGGTTAATGGTAATATTGCTTAGTAACCTCAGAGGTGCCACATCCGTGCCTAAACTCCTTGGTCTAGGTGGAAGAATTGAAGCCATTTGAATTGGAAAAGGCTGATATAAAGTAGCTTTGCCACTAACATTTTGTGAGACATCCTGTCACAAGTGTTTTACAAAAAGGCAGAGATATAAGATGCCTTGCCTTCCTTTCATCCGCTAATTTGAAATTACATTGTGAAAGGCTATGAAGTTTGTCGGGTGTGATTTGTTCTTTAAATGCCCTTGCTGCTTAATCTTCATGAAATCCTCATTAGGATGCTGAATGATCCTTAAACAGGATTTTTTTTAAAAAGGCACAAAAAGAGAATGTATAACAACAGCATGTCTGATGAGCAGATTGACAGTTATCTTAGATAAATGGATGCATGGACCATGGAGGACTCTGGCGAACTAATGTAGTTCATCTCTAATTTTTGACCTTAAAGTTAAGTTTAGGACTAGTAGTTTTAGAAAAGCATCCCAATATTTATTATAGTGGCAATACAAATAGTACAAATATATCAGGTTCCATAACTCCTTTTATTTCCAGGACCCCAAGTATTTATATACATTGCTTTTTTTTGAATTTTCATATTATTTCTGTCTCTTCTGGTGTGGTTCAAGACCTTAATTCTAGTTCTGGTTTTGTTGCCAGTTGACTATGTGATTTCAGATTAGAAGTCAGCAAACATTCTGTAAGGATCGGATCACAAATATTTTAGGCTTTGAGGCTCATATGATCCCTGTTGCAGCTACTACACTCTGCTGTTGTGAAATGAAAGCACCCAGATGTAATATGTAAATGAATATGACTGCTTTTCAATAAAACCTTATTTACAAAAAGAGGTGATGAGCCAGATTTGGTTTGTGAGTCATAGTTTACTAACTCCTAGTCTAGGTGATCGATTTAGTTTCTCTGGGCCTTATTTTCTCCATTTACCAAATATGGTGGTTGAGCTCGCAAGTGTTCAGATTATAGAATTATTTGCTCCTACATCCAGGACTCATCTACTAGGGGTTTTTCCTAGTGCTTGAAATTATGGTATGCAGCACATTCAAAGGTCATCACTAGGACTGGTATTTCTCATTTTGCTTCAAACACCAACCAGGGAGCAAACTTTGAGAAGGGCGCTACCTTTAAAATTCAAAGATGTAAGGACTCAGTCCCTGGATGAGTGCAGAACGATTTTAGACTACACATGCTACTTCCACCACCAGATGAAGAGTTTCAGGATTCCTCGGGGACTGAGGCAAAGGGACAATGCAAGAAGAGCTCCAATAATATTTTTCCTACCCTGCGTTTCATCCTTACTTGATCGTGTCCCAATCCCCATGCCATCACACGTCCAAGCCTCATCATTCTCCAATCAAACATTACACTTAAACCAAGTCTCCACATGCTCAAAGAAGAAACCCTTTGGAGACTTCTCTAAAGGTTGGATTATGAGCACAAAACTGTCACTCAAAATTTTCCCTTTGTGGAGAATGTGGGAGAGTATGGCAGGAGGTTTTCTCACCTGTCATTCACTTGGAACATAAATATCTTTGAAAATCAAAAGCATATAATGAGTTCAGACCTCAAAAATTATGCACCCTTATTCTTTAATATGTTATTTGAGTTAGGGGACCAACAGGGATAACAGTCCTACCGGGAAACTTTAAGGAAATCTATTTATTTGTCAGGTTCATGTTAAGCAACCAAATGCTACTTCCATTCAAATTTTGTCATATTTTTCAGTTTTCCAGACTCTTTCAACTAGAAAAAAATGTGTTTCTAAAATTCCTTTTTAAAAATAAAGCAGTTCGTTCCTCCAGAGTAAATCTGTGTTTTGGTCACATAAAAGGTAGGAAAGGAAGAAAGAGGGTTAGTGAAGATCCCTGACTATGTAATATAAAGTTTACTTTAGCATATGTTGCCAGGGGCATTGCACACACTCTCATTTAATATTATGCTAATGAAGTAGCTATTTTTTTTTTCATTTTACAGATTGGGAAACTAAGCTTTCATAATTATTCAAGGTCACAAAAATTTTAAATGACAGAACAAGTTTTTAATCCCAAATCTCTCTAAAAACAATGTTCCTAAACAATTTCTAAAATAGTTCTAATGGGGGCTAATGCAGTTAATAAAAGTCTGGATGGATGGACAGCATTTTTGGTGGGAAGCATCTCAATTACAGAAAATATCAATTTAAATATAGGTGGTGACTTTAATCTTCAAATAAATGTTATCCTAACATGGGCCTACTGCACTATTTAGAGAGAATTTTAAAAATTTGAATGGCATTAAAATTTTAAATTAAATGCGATGAGCAGTGTCTAGTTTGTAATAGTGCCCACTAATAAGGAAACTCAAAAGTAGTTAAGAAGCCGGCCCAGGTTGATCTGCCAGTGTGGGATAGAACCAAGACTGGACCCATATCGTTCAAAGTCCCAGCATCCTTTCTATCAAAATCAAAAAATGTACACCATTAGCATAAGAGATGGCAAGAAAGAATGTTAGAAAAGCAGAGAAACTGTGAAGGATAATGCCACATTTCTAAAGGTTGGAAGAGAAAGCAACCTGGAATGGAAGCCCAGCTATGTGGACTGTGTGTTGGAGGTACGACAGTAACACAGACTTGCCTTCAACTGGCTCTGGAAATCATATCTCTCAGTGCCTCTGTTTGTTTTTAATTGGTAAGATTCAAAGGTTACATTATTAGGGATTAATAAATGGTGACCTAGAAACCAAGTTAAACTCAGGAATGAGTTTTGTTTACACTATACAATGTTTTACTTTAAAAAAAAAATGAGTTTAGATGGGAAATGAACTCTCCAGTTCTTATCACTCCCATTTGTCTTGGACACCACTGGCCTCTTCACACTTCATGTGGTCTGCCTGGCCACTAGCAATTCTTTGCCTTTGCAGACCCTACAAACAAGTTCCAGAACAGCTATTATGGTCTCTCATTCTCTAATTTACCTGGTTACTGAGAAAAGGTCTGGGGCTATGTTCTAAAAATAAGTTACCTGGAAACTGGTTTAACAAGAAAAATATCTTCATTTCAAAGCAGAGGAAAATCTACTCAGCACACATCAAAATGTAGTGAGATCTCGCCTAGCTGTGGCAATTTCCAAGTGGATGACAGGAGGGAAGGACAATGTTCCCAGTGAAGCCAAAGCTGGAATCATGAGAAGTTAAATGGAATTGCCCAAACCGGAATTTGGCCAAGATTTAGGATTACCACTTGTACAAATTGGGGTGACCTATCAAGGAAGTTGTAGTTTTCCTCTGATATATGGGCCTCCTGAAAGCTCAGCAATCTAGAGCACATGCTGGGTGGATGATTTGACAGAATGCTTTCCTTTGAGCAGTGCCACTTGGCAAATACCCTCTTGAGATAAGTTTTATCTTCACGAGTTGGGTCTGTTAACTTCAAGGCAGTGTGTAATTTTAATTTTCATTAGCCTTCTGTCAGTGACCCCAATTCTGCTGGAAAGGCCAGTGTCTCTCCAAATTCTTGAGTAACAAAGCTTGTATATCTCATTTCTTTTGTTGTGTAGCTTTTAGGTACTTAATCTCATTCCACCCTCACCACAAACTAATGATGTAGGCAGGCAGGGAATGAAAGCTTATATCTGGCACAGAGGTGAGTATACTGGGACTCAGGGTTTCCAAGCCAGACCTCAATCTAAGTTCACACATTTGCTGCCTGTGATGTTTCCCTTGTACGGTGGCACAAGTAAATGGAGTTCTTCCAGGGTTAATGGCAACAAGGGAAGTTGTATCTATTCAAAGCCAAGGCAATTGTAATAACCTGAGCAAACACAGTTAAATTGATTATTGAGATTAATAAACACAGCCATGACATTAGAGCCTCTATCATGACCTTCCTTTTTTCTTTCCTTTTCCCTGTATTGGTGAACCATACTCTTAAAGACTCAGTCACCAATGCCAGAATGAGGTTATCTCCAACTTCTCCTTTTCCTTCTGGCTCGATATCCTGGTGAAATGGCTCTGTTGTCTGGGGTATATATATTGGCGCTTGGTCTCGGTGGAGAAGGAATTCAGGACATGGACACACATGAGGAGTGGGTTTTGGAACAGAAAGTTTAATAGGAAAAGAAGAAAAGAAAGAGAAAAAACTTCCTCACATTGACAAAGCCCAAGAGAGGGTCTCCCAGCAGGAGAAAGGAGCGGTTGGTGCAAATGGACTGTTTTATAGTACAGTATGGGGAGGTGTTGTCTGATTTATGTAGGGCTCATAGAGAGGTTTGATCACTTACGACATCTACATAGTACAAGGGAAAGGCTGGAAACCTAATCTTATGCAAATGGGCATTCCAGTTGATCAGCGCCATCTTCCTGTTTCTTGTTGTACGTGTGGCTGACAAAGAGAAGGGACAATTGAGCTGTCATCTTGAACATGATTGGCACAACTGCCGGTAAATAT